ACTGAATACGAATTCGGGTATGTTGGCTGTTGTGTGATTGGGAGTGGGAGAAGCCAGGTTTCTGCTGGTAAGAAAACAGATCTCTGCTCCGGAGTAGTTAGTAGTAAGGAGGGACGGGAGAAAATGAATATTGTGGGTCATGTAGATCATGGCACTAAAGAAATCCTTCACCTCACATGAGATGTTTTCTCGCTTTTTGTGCTTTTTGTGCTTTTTGTGCAGTATTTACTGTATATGTTTTGGCTGACCTCGCAAACGACGTGCTAAACTTGGAATGCTTACAATTATCTGACAGAACTCAATATGGCGGCCTCATTGATCATCTTGGTGAGTGATGAGACGACTTTGATTTCCCAAGAGACAATACTTACCACCCCAGCATGTACACCACGATAGAGCATGGCTGACATGGGAACTTACCGAATTGGGGCTTGCAAGCAGAAAGCCAGACGCTTGCATCTTTGAGGCGGCCTCCGCACATTGAATTAGGATTCTTATAGGGTAGGTGCAAAGCACAAACCGAAGGCATTTTAACTGCCATTCAGGTCGTGACTCAGTAGGGCTGCTTCTTCTGGACCGTTGTTCCTCGATGTGCCTGAGTCTGTTTCTGGTGACCGCTTTTAAGAATGCCATTCTCTACTCCGCCCCGGAAAGCAGCTGTTACCTGTCGAAGAGCACCAGTGACTCGCACAGTGACGGGGTAAACAGGTCGGTCTGGCCCTTGAAGTGGTCTTTGTAGAGGTTGAGAGTCGCTGGCTGCCTCGCTTTGGGTCAATTTCTGCCAGGGAAATATTTATTAGGCTCTTTGGTGCGTCTTGCGTGATGGCTGCTGGAATAATGACTTGAATAAGGTACCTATTAGTGGAATAAAGTTGCTCTTGATGAGATGTAGTTAGTTCTCCGTCCAATCAGGTGCGGTCCCAGACTGTCGGGTCCAACAAGCCACAATGCTTGTGATTATGCAGGTACGCTCTGAACGTGAGTCCGAATGCAAGGGTTCTTTTCCACTCCATTTCTCACTTGTTAATACCCGGCTTCGTTATGGCCTCTTCTAGGGCCCAAATTCATCGCGAACTTGATTTTGGTGATGGCGGTGTCGAGGCCAAATATCAGACACATGATCTCTGGGCTGTTTTCTACGACAGTCATGGCTTACTCTTAGAACGCCTAAGGCGGATATCAGGGCAGCAATTGCTTCTCTCGAGGCGGCTTCTTGGAGTTTTATGACCAAGCGCATTCTAAAGCATTTTACCTAGTCAGTTAGCACTAGGTAGCATTAATTTGAGCACCATTTTTTGCTCGACCCAGATGACCAACTGTAGATTTAGTTCCATATTGCTCCCACATCTTAAAACTTGAATTTCGTGACCCATCGCTTGCTTTCAACAAGTTCAGCCTCTTTACCCCTCTTTTCTCGTCAAGTGTCTTGGACCCAAGAGTCGCCTGTCTTTGCTGCCGCCTCCAACCCAGTGCCCCCATGGTCAATCCGTGTATACACTGTGTATACGCAGAGTCCATGAAAGCACAGCCCCAACCCAACACCAACGAACCGGTGTCCGCTACTGCCTGTGTTGCCGCCTTTCTCAGTCAATGCCCACTATCCGTAGGCAGGCAGCGCTTGACCATAAATTGAGACCCGTCCCCTCCTTCACTTTCCCTCTTCTCGTTCACGTCTTTCTTTCTCTGGGGGAGGGTGATTGTTTTATTTCCCCAACTCCTGTCAGACCCCGCTTCTCAACTCACAACTTCCTACATACCCACTTACCTAAGGAGGTAGGTAAGTACCTAGGTATTGAGGGCATCCCAACCCAACAACACCAGAAGAGCGATGGCCGCCACGGACACATTCATTGAGGACGCGGCCAACTTTCGGATTCTCCGAGCATCGCAACCGGGCACCGAGCTACCTCAACCAGAGTGGGCCGCCAACGAGGGCTATTACCGCGTCTTTTCGCACCATGACAACACAGTCAAGCATCTCTTTTACACCGTCCCAACCGACGACAGCCATCATGGCTGGGTAAACAATGCGTGGCCGTTCGGCTTCAACGATGCGCCCGGCGGTGACTAGAATGTCGGCCTCCTCACCCGCAACAGCGACGACGACGACAACAGATTTGTCATCTCGTCCACCTAGAAGCGCCAGTTTCCAGGGCTGGCGGGGCCATGTCCCGTCGACATTCCCCGTGTGAAGCTGAACCGGCCGCAACTCGCGCTCGAGTCTTTCAGCGACCCGCTATGCGAGGGCTGGGAATATGGTGTGTTCCTCAGCCACTATGCCAGGGCAAATTGTGACGACAACAGAGTGCTGGTGGCCACGGAGCCCGACGAGATGGACGAGGAGGAGCGCGAGCTAGACCGCTAGCAAACTGTCGGGCGTTTCGGCACCGAGAGGGTGTTGATCGTCGTGAACAACGACCTTTGCCCTCGCCGTCCCGAGCAAGCGACGGCCCCTGGTCGGTACTGGCCTTCGTGAAGGCGAGAAACATTGCAGAGATCTACGCCGCCATCCACGACCGCGGCAACGGCATCGCGCCGCGTCTACTGACCTATCTGGTGGAGGACAACGGTGCTCGGAGCGCATCATTAGCCTTGCCGTCGAGGCTGCCTAAAACGCTCGCTTTGCCACCCCCGACGCCGACGAGTGCCGCGCCGCCATCGCCAAGCTGCACGAGTACGGCATCCTCTACGGCTTGTCTAACATGCGATGCTCGAGCTTTCTCATCGTCGTCGGCGGCGGCGGCGACAAGGCGGTTGCTGCCGCTGCTGCAGGCTCAGACGACGAGCCGAAACGAGCTTTGCTCTAAGACTTTAGCGAGGCTGTATTTTCACACCACAGGGCCGCCATGGGGGACGAGCTAGCCCGCGTGTCGGATGCACTACAGGATAGCCGCCTGCGATACGATGTGCCACTTGTCGACAAAGCCGCTGGTCCTATGCTCGTTGATTATTCGCCCACTGGCGCGCCGGCGCGGATACCCCACAGCCGGAAGAGGGGATATCCTGTGTTTGGCTGATGTCTCTTGATGTTCTTCGTACCATTTCATGTTTCTCCTGGAATTCAGTTGTTCAAAACCCATACGAGTGAACGTCATAGTACTACTACCGCTACGTAGCTTGAAGTTAGGAAGCTGGCACGCATGATATGATATGGAACCGGCATTGATGTGTTTTGCATTTCTTCTTCTTGTCTCTTATTGATCCACGCCGTTAAACAGGGGGTGAAAGCTGGCAAATCAGTTCCTCGAGACTCATGTGCCTGGACAGCCACCAATTATGAACTCGTACCAGAGAAATAAAAAGGTTTGAGCAGTGCCGGACATCTTTACATGGAATGTGAGGAACTAGAATGTGTCTGAATTAGAAGTGGTGGTTTGTTTGCAATAAAAGCCGGTTGGGATATGTGCGTCAAAAGAGCCAAGAGAATATCAGAGCCAACACATCTCTGCAGGCACCTAGGAAGAGCCAACATCATTTCAAGCACAAATCGGCACAATAATCATCCCAACCATGGCTAAATACTAGATGAGCCTTTGAGCTACACTCAGAAAGCATGTCTCCCCGGCGTGATATTCCTTCCGACCAAGGTAAACAAATGCTCAGAGTCGGACCGCATCAAAAATTGATGGCTCCAACCACCAACATTCATTTAAACAACAAATTCCCGAACTTGGATTTCACCGCCCAGCATCAATTCAGCTCAAATTAACCATTAATATGGCCGCCTTTTTCTTGAGACAGGACAATCGCTGCCGCCAAGACAAATTAACGGAAACTGAATTTCCGCGTTACATTCTTGATCACTGATCGTTGGGTTGGACTCGAATCTACGAAATGGAGTAGAAGAAGCCGTGCTATTTGTCAGGATCATACCTGATTAAGCGGCCATGAATATTATCTAAAGCCGAAACTGAAAGCTTTCCACACACCCCTTCATCTTCGACATCTTTATGCCCAAGTGCCGTCTTGCCGATTCCCACGCGGAAGGCATTTCGCTAGAGGCTCGAAGTATCGACGACGCGCGGGACGATAGGAATCGGCGATGGAAACGAGGGAGGCTATTTCGCCAGGCAGGAAGGGCCCTGGCCTGCACGGCACAGCACTTACACTCATCATAGGGGGAAACGGCGGTCCAACAATAGGCGGCGTCGCGACGAAGGTCGGAGACGGAGCCGCCAACAGGGGCGGCAAAAACGTTCGCTCAGAAAGGCGGTGGAGCGCGGCATTGAACAGGGCGGTGAGGGCAGTTCAAGAGGTGTGCTTAGTCATAAGCAACTGGACAGTTCAGATGTTTTTACAAGTTGCCGATTTTGTTTAATGTCATCGCTAAGGAGAAAGTGAGTGAATATGGACAGATGGTATGAAGAATCATGTTTTCTTGAGAAAAAAAGAAGGAGAAAAAAGCCTTTCGATGATCGATCTGTGTGTAAGACGAGGTTGGGTGTCCGTGGTTCTCTTTTTTTTTTTTTTTTTTTTACGCGCACAGAGACATCCTAGAGAGACGGCTAGCTAGCTAGACAGGCACATATCAATACATTATTAGTTTCATATTCGGTAGCTAACATGGAAAAAGTCTCTCTCTTTAAGATAGAGATAAAAGGACAAAGGTGTGCCAATTAATAGTACGCTACACGGCTACCCAATTACCTAATTAAAAAATATAGATAGTAAAGGTGGTAGGCAACCTCAATAGATAGTTATATATACGTACTATGCATACATAACGAAAAGCAACTCTTATCTCCAGTGTTATTAGTTATCTCGATTTAAAGAATGTGGGCTTTAATGGACACAAGTGAGAAAAAAATGGTAATATTCTAGGTATTGAAATTGTAAATAAAGCAGGGGGAACAAAATTAGGAAGAATTATATTTCTTAACCAAACAATACCTCTCCTCCTCCCCCTTTCCCTAAGGAGGGAAAATTAAAAACTAAAAAGCTCTAGGTAATTATCTACACTATACGTAAAGAAGATTTCGAGTGAGAAAGAAGAAAAAGGATGCCCGTGGGCGGAATCGAACCGTCGTACTTGGATGTCTCTTAAAGTTAAGGACTTCAAGATCATACTTTCTATGAGACCAATGCTCTACCCCTAAGCTACACAGGCGTTTTTTGTGTGGTGATTTTTGGTTGAAAACGTGGAGCGGAATGGGGTATTATTTAGGTGAAGGCGGGGAATGGAAAGCACGATGGTGGAGACTGACCAGCAAAGCCACAAAAGAAAAAAAAAAGAAAAAAGGGAAGAACTCAGGGGGGTTCTTCCTCCCGGGACGGTCGGCATATGGGTCATGAATACGAACAACATCCTACGTGGTCAAAGGATGTCATCGGGAGGTTTTCTGACACGGTACGACTTTCGGGGGTGGTCGGCATCACATATCTTCCGGACCCATTGATATCGCAAAAAGGGACGTCTTTTAATTCCAGAGCTTGACATGTTTGTCCTCTTGGTACCTAATCGCTTATAGAATACCTATGCATACATAAAACTAAATACACATCAAAGTCGTTATTTTAAATATTTCCTCTCCTTGGGCATCTTCTTCACCGCCAAGGTCTCCACGTCCTTCTTATCGTAATAGTGACCACCAAACTCGGACAGCCAGGCTGGGTCAATGGGGATGACGGACCGCACGTACTCGCGCGACGACACCACTAGCTCATGGTAGATGATCACCTTGGGCGGCGGGTCTATCGACTTGATGACACTGCTGGGGTGCACGTAAACCGTCATGGCAGTCTTAAGTGTGCGGTACCCATCGCCGCCGCGGTTGAGGCGGGCCGCGTTCAGGAAGAAGGCCGACGTCAGCGCGCGCAACACGGGCGTCAGGTTGGAGATGCCTCCGCACGATATCATGTCGCCATCGAGCACGCGCTCGCACAGCTTGGCGAGCTGATCGCGCACATCGCGGGCCCGCGTGAGGGAACGCTGTGTCAGGAAGTTTTCTTTGGCCCAGATGGGCGAGTAGTCGGCATCGACCCACTGGTTGTATACGTTGAGCAGGGTCAGGTGGTCGCCCCCCTCCTTGACCGTGAACCGGGCCCGCGCGCTATCGGCGTGCACCTTCTTGTCCTTGGGCCGGAAGAACAGCGTCGCAGACTCGCCGAGCATCGAGACAATGGTGAGCACCTCCTCGACGCACCCTTCCTCTATCGCCGCAATCAACGCCTTGGCGAGCATGGGTTCCGCTGGGAACTCACCCATCTGGCGGCCCACGCGCGTCAGAGCACCCGCGCTGTTCAGCGCACCGAGTGCGTAGAGCATGTTGAGCGACTTGATCAGGAGCTCCGTGGGGGGTGGGTCAAGGAAATCAAAGCCGAGTAGATCGTCTATCCCGAGTGCCTTGAGCTGCAGGACCACGCTCGACAGAGACGTTCTTTGGATTTCTGGCGTCGGCGATTCGTCCATCTCAGAGAGGTAGGCAAACTTTGTGTACAGTCGGAAGCACTTGCCAGGACGCACACGACCGGCTCGGCCCATACGTTGGTTTGCTGCTGCCCTTGAACACGGCACTACCGCGAGCGTCGACTGTCCTGTCGTGCCAACTGGGGAGAATGTGTTCTCCTTGACGTAGCCGCAATCGATGACGTAGACTATGCCGTCGATGGTAAGCGACGTCTCGGCGATGTTGGTCGAAAACACTACTTTCCGTGCTTTGGGCGGAGTGGGCTCAAAGATTTTTGCCTGAAGCTCCGATGGCATGTTGGCGTAGATAGGAAGCGCTATAATCTCAGGAACTCGAGTTCCCAGTTTCCGTTTGATCTCTTCCACACGCTCACATGCCTTGTCAATCTCTTCCTGGCCAGTCAAAAATACCAAGATGCCGCCCTCGGGCTGGGATGCGTGTATTTGAAAGACTGTCACCAGACTGGCTTCCAGGTAGTTGCTTTCCGGCGCCGAAGTATAGTACACGTCGACTGGGTGAACACGGCCGGGCACATTGAAAATTGGTGCATCATCGAAATAAGCGCTGAACTTCTCGGCATTTAGCGTCGCAGACGAGATAATTAGCTTCAGCTCTGGTCTGGCGCGTGTGAGATCCTTGATAAGGGCTAGGAGAATGTCGGTATGGACAGTCCGTTCGTGTGCTTCGTCGATCATGATGGCTGAGTAGTTTTCCAGTGTCGGGGATGTAACCATCTCCCTGAGAAGCATGCCGTCGGTCATGTATTTCAGAATGGTTTTATCATTTGTGCAATCTTCGAAACGAATCGAATAGCCGACTTCATGACCAACCTTCACTCCCATCTCGTCCGCAACACGTGCGGCGACACTCATAGCTGCAACTCGGCGGGGCTGGGTACACGCAATTTTCATGCCGTCTCCTGTAAAGCCAGCTTCGTGCAGGTATTGTGGAATTTGCGTAGTCTTTCCAGACCCTGTCTCGCCAACCAGAATAAGAATCTGGTATTCCTTGATGGCATCCAGGAATGCATCGCGATATGCATACACTGGCAGGCTCTTTCGTACGTCCAGTATGCTCTTGTGGGCTCGCTCGGCCGCGTCGATCTTCTCCTTCAATATCCTCTGTTCCGACGTCAAGCCATCGGTCGGTTGCGCGTACTTTGCTGTGTCGCGCACAAAGGTAATGGCGTCCTCGTCTAGCAGAAAGTCATATTCTCCTTGGTCCTCCCGCTCGCGGCTCTGGATTTGGGATTTGGCTTTCACAGTTTGCTCCCGCTCCCACTCGTCGTACTCGGTCACAAGTTTCTCGTGACCAAATTCGTCACGCTCAACGTGGCGCGAGTAAAGGGCGTCCTCTTTCTTCTTGCTGTCGCCTCCATACTGGTCTGGCAGACGATAGCCATCCTGGTAGTCGTCGATACGCGCTCTCTCCTCGGCCAGCCGCAGGATCTCGCGATTCTTGGCAAACTCGGCCTTCTCCCTTTCGGACAGGCGGATGCCCGACTTTAATTCAGCAGTCTCCTCTAAGACCTGCTTCCGCAACAGCGCGAGCTTCTCGGTTTCCCTCTTTTTCAGGTAGTCCTGGCGCGATTTTAAGCGCAGGTCTGAGATCCGGGGGTCCTCAGGTCTTGTGTCGCCTCCTCGTCTGGGTTTAGAGTCTCCGTCTTTTTTGTCGCCGCGCGGCGATCGGGAACGGTGTCGCGGGGAGTCGTCGCCATCGTGACGCCTGCTTTTGTGTCGGCGCGGAGACCTTGAGCGTTCGCGGGACCTGTCGCGTTTCCTCTCCTTCCTGTCTGTCCTGTCCCTCCTCCTGCTGTCGTCTTTGCCCGGAGCCGCGGGCTCGTCGTCCATCGGAACAAAAGCATACCGCTTTGTCGCCATCTTCGAGAATCGCACTTTGGGACAGTGTCTGGCGTTATTGTTGCCGCACGATGGTCCGTTGGGTTCAATCAGGCGGATGGCAACCGAGTCATCGAGGCAACCATTTCCAGCATTCGAGACCCAGGCCAGCCTGCTGCCGTGCACTGTACAGCGTGCTGAAATTCTTATCTTATCTTGGAACCCAGCCAGACCCCAAAGAAAGGAGTGGGTCCCCATTTAAGCTTTCAAGGCTGAGAAGACCAATCATGCAGCTTCCAGGGGTTTTCTAACTGGCCCTTTGACCACGTTGGCTGGTACAAGTGAACTGTACATGTACACTATTCCTTGGGGCGTATAAGTGAATTGTCCCCCCCCCGCCATAGTCGGCTTCTTGATCGAACCCAGAGAGCGCACGCAGGAGGCGATTTTGCTCCATTTGATTATTCTTATCGTTCTTTACCTTGGCTTGGTATTTATTTGCCTCTGGATTGGGATTGGCAAACCCAAAATCGGTTGGCGACGCCTCCTGTCGCAAGCAATTGACTTTGATAACGCAAAGAAAAAGGGACAGTCTGGCCCTTTGGCCAGCGCAACGACGCGTGCACGATGTTGCTTCGCATGGTAGCCTTGGTGCTGCTGGTAATGCTGGTGCAGCTTGTCATTTGCCAAGAGGACTTCTATAAGGTATTATTGGACCTATTCGACCTTTCTATCCTTATCTAACCATTGCTGTCCAGGTTCTCGGTATCAAGAAGAATGCCAACGACAAAGAAATCAAGTCGGCATACAGGCAGCTTAGCAAAAAGTACCATCCGGATAAGAACCCGTACGTGTTCATATATTTTATGGGTATTTGCCCAACTCGAGATCGTGGACTGACGCGCTTTGCCACAACAACAGCGGAGAAGACACGCAGAAGAAGTTTGTCGAAGTATCGGAAGCCTACGAGGCCCTCATCAACAAAGAGACACGGCAGATCTACGACCAATATGGACATGAGGGGCTGAAGCAGCGGCAACAGGGAGGCGGCGGCGGCCACCATGATCCGTTCGACCTATTCAGTCGCTTCTTTGGCGGCGGCGGCCACTTCGGCAACCAGCCGGGCCAGCGGCGCGGACCCAACATTGAGGTGAAGGTGGGCATTGCCCTTCGGGACTTTTACGAGGGCCGAACCACAGAGTTTCAGTGGGACAAGCAACAGATCTGCGAGGACTGCGAGGGGACGGGTGCGGCCGACCGCGTCGTCGACACGTGCCACTCTTGCGGTGGCCACGGTGTCAAGATTGTCAAGCACCAGCTCGCGCCGGGCATGTACCAGCAGGTGCAGATGCAATGCGACCAGTGCGGCGGCCGCGGCAAGGCTATCAAGCACAAGTGCCCCGTGTGCGGCGGCCAGCGCGTGGTGCGCAAGCCCACGACGGTGTCGCTAACGGTGGAGAAGGGCATGGCCAACGGAGCGCGCGTTGTCTACGAGAACGAGGCCGACGCGAGCCCCGACTACGTGGCTGGCGACCTATTCGTGACGCTAGTGGAGAAGGAGCCCGATCTTGAACACGATAACCCGGACCACGTCGACGGCACCTTTTTCCGTCGCAAGGGCAACGATCTCTTCTGGCGGGAGATTCTCTCGTTGCGGGAAGCCTGGATGGGCGACTGGACGCGCAACCTGACTCACTTGGATGGCCATGTGGTGCGCCTGAGCCGGAAGCGCGGCGAGGTGGTGCAGGCTGGGCAGATCGAGACTGTAGTTGGAGAGGGCATGCCCATATGGCATGAAGACGGTGACGACGTTTATCACAAGACGGAGCATGGGAATTTGTTCATAGAGTATGTGGTGGTCC